TAGGAAAACTGCTGTAGTCAGGAGCCAGGAGTGAGAGGGCATATCAGCTGACGGCAGCAAATCCTAAGCTTTTCTTGTAGTCTTTCTCCTCGCAGCTGTTTCTGCTTCTTACAATTTTACCACTAAGTGGACTTTTCTTTTTTTCTTTCTTCTCCTTCTCATCCTTTCCCTCTCATTTCCCCTCTTTCCCTTCCTCCTTGACTTCTTCCTCTCCATTTCTCTTTCTCCTTTAAATCTTTTCCTTTACAAGTTTCACCACCTTGTCTAGATGATTGTAACCTGTTCTGTCCAACATACTTACTGCTAATCACATGCAGTGATTTAAGTAACAATTTTTAAGTTTTAGCAGGACGAATGGTATGTTGACAACATATGCTACATTCCTCTGAGAGGAAGTTGCACTAGAGCAGGATCTGAATTCCTGAAGGAGGTGACACGGTAGAAGACATTCTAAGTGGAAAGACCTGCAGGAATATGGCCATAGTAGTGAGGGCGACGTGTTTGTAGTGGAGTATGTTAATATTTAGATTGACAAAATGATGGGAATATTTGAACCCTATACTATGGAGTTTCTGGCATAAGAGATTTTTGGCCTTTTGTTGAATCTACTCAAATGTTGAAATTTGATAAATGCAGTATCGTTCAAATTTAATAGGGTTGGTGAGGCAATTGTTGAGTTAGGTATGACTTTTCAAAGTATGTCTATAATATTGCTCATTTCCTTGCTGGTATTCTGCTCTCAGAAATTAAGGGATGGACTGGCCTGGGGTGCTTCAGAGTTGAAAGACTGTACAATAGAGTCAAGTATTTTTTTCCTATATGCACATTACTTATTTAAAAAGTAGCATATATATTTAACTACATAGTCCAAAGTTAAATACTGTATAATTAAAGCAAAAAATATATAACCAGAGAGAAATATTAAACATATATTAAGTGTAGGAGTCTCTTGCTACCTTAGTATTACCAATAATTACTTTTAATTATGTTTTTCTCTATTTTGAGGCGGGAGAAGTCTTTTTTTTGTTGTTGTTATTGGTGGTGGTGGTCGGGGCTTGAACTCTGGGCCTACGCACTATCCCTCAGCTCTTCAGCTCAAGGCCAGTGCTCTACCACTTGAGCCATAGTGTCACTTCACTTCTGGTTTTCTGGTGGTTAATTGGAGATAAGAGTCTCATGGACTTTCCTGCCTGGGCTGGCTTTGAACCAAGATTCTCAAATCTAGCTTCCTGAGTAACTAGGATTATAGGTGTGAGTCATTGGCACCCAGCTGGGAGAAGTCTTTCTAGGAAGTCCCTTCTGTCATTGAAAGTCCCAGAGCCTTGCCTGATCACATATTGTCTTTTGTTTATTTATTTATTTATTTATGGGTCCGGTCATGGGCCTGAACTCTGGGCCTGGGTGCTGTCCCTCAGCTCTTCAGCTCAAGGCTAGCACTCTACCACTTGAGACACAGTGCCACTTCCGGCTTTTTTCTTTTTGCTTATGTGGTGCTGAGGAATCAAACCCAGGGCCTCATGCTTGCAAGGCAAGCACTCTACCACTGAGCCACCTTCCCAGCCCCACATATTGTCTTTTAGATTAAAAAAAAAAAAATCCTTTATGGTGCATTCTAGTTTCTTATTTGCTAACTTTGTTCAGATCTGATTCTTTAGCCTCAGAGAAGGAGTAAACAATATTCTCCTTGTATTCCCCTCATATTACTGAAGATAAATATATCTTCACAGTATTTTTATAATGGAATTGTAAGCGTACTTTTAAATTGATCAGGACATTTGTAACTTAGCTTTGTTTTCATTTTGAATGTCACTTCTTATCTATTTGACAAGCTTAGGACAGGCCTGGCATTTAGGAACACTTTCCCCCACATACCCTTGAGTCACGTAAGCAGTTTCTGTTCTTCTTTAAAGGAGGAATATGGTCAAAATGCCCCTAGAAGAAAATAGAAGGGACTTTATTCTGGGATTGGCTTTCGTGTGAGTTGATGAAAAGGATTCAGGCAGAGATGTACGTATGCCAAATACAGACTATTTGCTATAGAATAAGAGCCACATGTTTTTGTAGCCTTGTCATCTTTCTCAGTGATTATTTATTTATTTATTTATTTATTTTTTTGCCAGTCATGGGGCTTGAACTCTGGGTCTGGGCGCTGTCCCTCAGCTCTTCAGCTCAAGGCTAGCTCTCTACCACTGGAGCCACAGCGCCACTTCCAGCTTTTTCTGTTTATGTGGTGCTGAGGAATCGAACCCAGGGCCTCATGCTTGCAAGATATGCACTCTACCGCTGAGCTACCTTCCCAGCCCTCAGTGATACTTTATAGTGGGGAAAGGAAGTTCTTTAGCTTTGTTTGGAGGAAATTATTAATATATTTAAATGCTCTGTGTCTAGGATTTCACTGCTCCTTATATAATTTTAGACGCAAATACCTATGATGATAGGACTTAATGTCTGCTTTTGCAATTTGTCATCTTTGACAGTTAATGTTGTGAGATTAATACAGAGTGACTCAGAACACAGATATATAGTCACCTGTTGAGACAGACTTGTTGTCAGGCCTGTATTACTTGATGATAGCCTAGTGGAATGTGAAAATTATGTCAGTCAGAGGAGACTGGAAGTTAGCCCTGAGAAAGCATAGAGAATACAGTCACTGAGCAAAAGTTGGTATTCATACACACACACACACACACACACACACACAAAGTTGGTATTCACTTGGCCTCTAGGGTGGCAATTTTCACAATGTAACAATAATAGCATTTTTAGTGACTACCTAGTCACTTTAGATAACTTTAGTTATCTCTGGATATTTGTCTTGTTCTGTAACTAGAGAAACCTTGTTGTGGTTACAGAACAAGAAAAATCTGGTGCTTCAAATATTTAATGGCATAAAATTCAGAAAACTTGATGTCTCTGAATAAATTCTCATTCACAAGACAAGAAGACCAGAGCAAATAGACCAGAATGAGTGAGGGATCTCACCTGGTTCTCCCATTTTCAGATGATTGTCCTTTACCATATCCATCATGAATTTTGCTTGTAGATTTTATTTGTCTACCTTTGAAAAGCATTCACTCTCCAAAATAGTTTAGAAAATATAAGAGATTAGTTTTGGTACTGATAGAAAGGATTCTAATTTAAGATCCTCCCACATCCATAGGTATTTATATTTACATGTGATAAAGTACTTATGGTGAAAAGTCTCTGAAGAAATCATTGCTACTTCCTATGACTAGCCTTGAAAAGAAGAAAGAGTAATATTCTAATAAAGAGGACTAGGGATGTGGCTCAAGAGGTAGAACACCTGCCTTGAAGTCAAACCTTGGAACTGCAAATAAGAAGAAAAAGTGCCGGGAGCTGGTGGTTCACGCCTGTAATCCTAGCTACTCAGGAGGCTGAGATCTGAGGATCGCGGTTCAAAGCCAGCCCGGGCATTAAAGTCCATGAGACTCTTATCTCTAATAAAACCACTGGAAAACCGGAAGTGGTGCTGTGGCTCAAGTGGCGCTGTGGCTCAAGCGGTAGAATACTGGCCTTGAGCAGAAAAGCTGAGGGACAGCGCCCAGGCCCAGAGGTCAAGCTGCATGACTGACAAAAATAAAAGTGTGCCACGGGGCTGGGAAGTTGCCTCAGTGGTAGAGTGCTTGCCTCGCATGCATGAGACCCTGGGTTCGATTCCTCAGCATCACATAAGCAGAAAAAAGCCAGAAGTGGTGCTGTGGCTCAAGTGGTAGAGCGCTAGCCTTAAGCTGAAGAGCTGAAGGACAGCGCCCAGGCCCAGAGTTCAGGGCTCACGACCGATTAAAAAAAAAAAAAGTGTGGTCTGGGAAGGTGGCTCAGTGGTAGAGTGCTTGCCTTGCATGCATGAGGCCCTGGGTTCAATTCCTCAGCACCACATAAGCAGGCAAAAAAAAGCCAGAAGTGGTGCTGTGGCTCAAGTTGTAGAGCACTAGCCTTGAGCTGAAGAGCTGAGGGACAGCGCTGAGGCCCAGAGTTCAGGCCCGCGACTGGACCCAAACCCCCCCCTCCAAGAAAAAAATATTTGTGAAAAAAAAAAAGTGTGTCATGGACTTTCCTGCCCAGGCTGTCTTTGAACCACCTCAAATCTCAGCCTCCTGAGTAGCTAGGATTACAGAGGTGAGCCAATGGGTGCCCAGCTAAGAGACAGAGTTTGACACATCATTATCTCATGTTTTACCAGCTTTGATTCACTATATCCACCACTTTCATTCAATTACAGTCAATTTAAGGTTTTTTTTTTATAAGAAGCTATGTTAATAAAATGCTGAGAATTTAAGAACATTGTAAACAATTGTCGCACTTTTACTCTAAAGTACACCAAATAATCTAGTAAAATGAGCTGGGATGTGGCTGGATTGGAGGCATGTCCCAAGGTGATTCAATGCAAAACTTAACATTTTTGTCTTAATTTTACTTTAAAATAATTTGTATTTCTAGTCTATATAATATATAATATTTATATGTGAATATATGTGGTGCTGCACTGTAGTTAGTACTTAGAAATATAATGAATAAGAAGGAATCTTTTTTTTTTTTTTAATGTCAGTCATGGGGCTTGAACTCTGGGCCTGGGCCCAGTCCCTCAGCTCTTCAGCTCAAAGCTAGTGCTCTACAACTTGAGCCACCTGAGCCACAGCACCACGTGCAGTTTTCTGGTGGTTTATTGAAGAGTCTCATGGACTTTCCTGCCTAGGCTGGCTTTGAACTGGGATCCTCAGAACTCAGCCTCCTATGTAGCTAGGATTAAAGGTGTGAGCCAATGGTGCTGGCTTAATTTAGTCTTCTTTACAAGATTTACCTCTCAGTGTTGAGTCTTATACATAAGTGAGAAAAAGGAAAGAATGTGGGACAGGAGGCTCCTTGGCTTTCTTTGATGTGATCAGAATCAGGTACAATGAAGTTAAGTAACCATTGGTACCATTGCAGGAGGGAGCACTGGCAGTTGCTGGGTAATTTGAAGACTACTGTGGAGGGTTTGGTGTCTGCCAACTGCCCCAATGTTTGGTCTAAGTATGGTGGCCTGGAACGGCTTTGCAGGGACATGCAGAACATTCTCTATCATGGGCTCATCCATGACCAGGTACGTTGAACTCTCCTTTTTTTGCCTGATAGACTGCATTACTTTTTGGAATGATAGTTTCATTAAATTGGTTGACAGGAAAAAGTTGTAAGTCACTAATCTTGAGCTGGTTTATTTTGTTTGTGCCAGTACTAAGGCTTGAACCCAGAACCTGGGTGCTATCCCTTAGCTTTTTTGTTCAAGGCTGACAATCTTATTGCTTGAGTCACACCTCTACTTCCAGCTTTTGTTGGTTAATTGAAGATAAGAATCTTCTTAGGTAGGCTTTCCAACCTAAACTGGCTTGGAACCACAATCTTCAGATCTCAGTTTACTCCTCCTAAGTAATCTATAAAGTCCTGAGGGCAGGATAAAGGAAGAAAAGGAGCCAAGTCAAAGAATCTATTCAGTTTTACTGGGCACCAGTGTGTAATCCTAGCTACTCCTGAGCTGAGATCTGAGAATTGTGGTTTAAAGACAACCAAGGCAGAAAAATCCTTGAGACTCTTATCTCCAGTTTATCATCAAAACACTTGAACTCTGGCTCAAGTGATAGAGAGCTAGCCTTAAGCACAAAAGCTCAGGGATTGTGCTCAGGCCTTGAGTTCAAGCCCCAGGACTGGCAAAAAAATTTTTTTTATTCAGTCTCTATCATTCAGGAAATGTTTTTATTGAATAAAAAGAAGCATGAGCTCTATTAAACTGAACATACTGTCCTTTGTGAAATAGTTTTGCGTAGAGACCATTGTTTGTTCTGGTGCTGAGTAATTGCATGCTTGATAAGACTGGTATAATTAGAACTATATTTCCTTCATGATGCAAAATTATTTTTCCCTCTGTCTTTCATTTAGATTTTAAATTTTTGTTCCTTTAATTTAGACTATTACTTTTTTT